GAGGTGAATCACAGAATCCCCTAGCCCTTGGAATGTCCGGAGACCCCCGCCCTTGTCTCCACCCAGGAGGTGAATCACAGAATCCCCTAGCCCTTGAAATGTCCGAAACCTTATCATCCCCATCCCCGCCCCTCACCCCCACTCCCAAGGTGGTTTTTCGGGTATAAAAAATCATGGCACCCTCCTTTTGGCACCACAGGTTGGAGAGACGTGAGTCCTCTGTGGTCGCCGGCATAATAAATGACCCTGCAATCTGGCATACTTTTGTCTTGTGGTAACTTTCTACGCTCCGGTCAAATACAACACTAGGAGAACTCCTCTTTTTTTTTTTTTGAGATGGAGTCTCGCCCTGTTGCCTAGGCGGGAGTGCAGTGGCATGATCTCCGCTCACTGCAACTGAAACCGCCTTTGTAAAACTATGACTGAGAGTGAAAGAGATCTAACTTAATGGACTCCATCTTGCTTCTAACCTCCAAGCTGTCCTTGTTCACTTCTGGGCGTAGACTGAACTCACTTTGGAAGGAAGTTAGTTTATGGTTCAAACAAAAATGGTGACATTCCTTTCCCAAAGCAGACTTCCATGTTGCCTGGGGACTTGACTACCTCTGAGGACTCACATTAGCCACAAGATTAGAAATGATGGTTCACATCCTGGTCAACATGGTGAAACCCCGTCTCTACTAAAAATACAAAAAAAATTAGCTGGGCATGATGGCGCGTGCCTGTAATCCCAGCTACTCAGGAGGCTGAGGCAGGAGAATTGCCTGAACCCAGGAGGCGGAGGTTGCGGTGAGCCGAGATTGTGCCATTGCACTCCAGCCTGGGTAACAAGAGCAAAACTCCGTCTCAAAAAAAAAAAAAAAAAAAAAAAAAAAAAAAAAGAAATGATGGTTCAGGAGTCATGCAGCTGGAGGTGACAAGATTCTTCCCCTCCCTAAACTGCTCCTAAGATCAGCCCTTGAGATGTTTTGCAGACCCTGCACTTGATGGATCAGCTGGCCCCACCCACATCAATAAACTGGCTCATCTGCTCCCGGGCCCCTACCCAGGAACTGATAGCGTATGAAGACGGCTTTGACTCCCTAAGGTTTCATCCTTGACCAATCAGCACTCCTGGCTCACTGGCTTCCCCCCACCCACCAAGTAATCCTTAAAAACTCTGCTCCCTGAGAATGCTCAGGGAGACTGATTTGAGTAATAATAAACTCCAGTCTCCTGCACAGCCAAGTCTGCATGAATTACTCTTTCTCTATTGCAATTTTCCTGTCTTAGTGAATCAGCTCTTCTAGGCAGCAGGCAAGGTGAACCCCTTGGGGGTTACGCAATCTGCACCTCCTGGCTCAAGCAGTTCTCCTGCCTCAGCCTCCCGAGTAGCTGGGATTACAGGCATGAGCCACCATGCCTGCCTAATTTCTGTATTGGTAGAGATGAGGTTTCACCATGTTGGCCAGGCTGATCTCAAACTCCTGACCTCAGTTGATCTGCTTGCCTTGGCCTTCCAAAGTGCTGGGATCACAGGCGTGAGCCACCATGCCTGGCCTGAGAACTCCTCTTTATCCTGCAAAACCCTTCAGGCATTCCACACCATCCTGTCCCACAGGTGGAGTCTGCCCTGCCTCCCTCAGGCTGGCGGCTCTGGGTCACCAGCTGTGACATGGTAAAACCCATAAAACTGCATACCTCAACCATACCTCGGCTTTCTGTTGAAACTGCTCTCTGTAACCCTGATGTGACAGGCAAGCAGTCCGAACCCACACCATCTTGGCCCCTTGGACTTGTAATAAGTAACTAAGTTCTGTAATTTCCACCCTACCCAGGCAATGTGTAAATTAATGCTTATCTTGACTTCTGTGAACCACTTAAGTAACAATCAGAATGTCTGAAGCCCCTCACCATCATCTATGCCCAGGAGGTAATTTACGGAATGTCCACCCCCCACACCCTCACCCCCGAGGTGGTTTACGGGCATAAAAGGTCTTGACACCCTCCTTTCGGGGCCAGGGGTTGGAGAGGCTTGAGTCCTCCGTGGCCGCCGGCAATACAGACCCTGCAATTTGGCATACTTTTGTCTTGGTGTTGACTTTCTGTGCTCACTCAGGTACAACACCAGCTACCTTGCTTGCTCCCTTCTTGAGTATTCACTGCCCTGGCTGACCAAGGGGTGATGGTCAGCACTGCTCTTTCTCCTGGAGAGAAATCACCCATTATGGGTGGGATTTCCCTTTGGATCCTTGGAAGTAGGGCTGGCCCACTCCCCAAGAGGCGGGGTTTGGAGTGTGGACCAGAGCTGAAGGCAAGCGGCTGGTGCTAAGGTTTTATTCCCTGATCTGCCTGCCATGCTGAAAAGGCTCTGGGAGCCCTGCCCAGAAAAAGGGAGAAGGGCACTGTGGAGTGCCCTGGGGGCACTGATGCCAGGCCCTGCTCTCAAAGTGTGCCCTTCAGTGGGACAGGGAGGGGGAGAGCTTACCTGTGGAACAGGAGCAGTGCCGTGGTGGGGAGGCTTGGGGGACAGGCGACCTGCCACTCAGGCTCTGGCCTGTGGCTCCGTATTGGTCCCGGGGCTGAGTGAGACTGGGGGTTGCCCATTGCTGTAATCAAATTAATGGCTAACAGTAGCAAGCACTTCATAGGGATTCATACTCCTGGGAGATGGGTATCATTATCATCCTCATTTTACAGATAAGGAAACTGAGTCCCAAAGAGGCTAAGAGCTTTGTGGAAGGTCACACAGCCTATGAGTGGTGGAGCCAGAATTCAACAGCCTGAGGGTCACCGGAGAGTGCACCCTTAGCCCCACCAAGGCGTCTCCAGAATGGAAGGCTGGCCAGAAAGGCATCTAGCTAGTGCCCAAGGAATACTGGATGAATGAATTCAATAAATTCACGCCTGGCCAGACATCTCTCTCCCACAGGCCTCAGTGCCCACAATTCCATCACCACAACTATGCTCCTGGTGCCACCCCTCGCCCACAGCACTTCCCAGCTCTGGGTTCAATCAGTGATCAGAACTGCCAAGCCTGCAAGGGGAACATGATCACCCCATTTTACAGAGAAGAAAACAGGCTGAGAGGAAGTCGGTAACTAGAACCCAGACCCGACTATCACTCTAGGCTGCCGCACAGCCTGCTGCGTTTGGAAAAGGCAGGCAAGTCTGGGAAGGGTGCACATCAGACATCATTTCATTTACACCTGCTGGGAAGGGCACCTCAGTTGCTGAAGGTCACAATACTGAGTTAATGGGATAAGAGGACATGACTGGAACATTGGGGATCGGGAGAACGCTGGGTGGGGTGGCTGCCAGGAGGGAACGATGCATGGGAAAAGGGAAGTGGGGTGGGGGTTGGAAGATAGACCGTCAGCACTTCTATTTTTTTTCTGCAGCATCTGCAGCTTGAGAGGGAAGAGCTGGTTCTGCCCTAGAGAGGCTGTGTGACCTCTGGGAGCCTTTGCCTTTTCTTTTCTTTTCTTTTCGTTTTTATTTTTTGAGACCGAGTTTCGCTCTTGTTACCCAGGCTGGAGTGTAATGGCACAATCTCAGCTCACTGCAACCTCTGCCTCCTGGGTTCAAGCAATTCTCCTGCCTTAGCCTCCGGAGTAGCTGGGATTACAGGCACACGCCACCATGCCCAGCTAACTTTTGTATTTTTAGTAGAGACAGGGTTTCATCATGTTGGTCAGGCTGGTCTTGAACTCCTGAACTTGTGATCCACCTGCCTCGGCCTCCCAAAGTGCTGGGATGACAGGTGTGAACCCCCTTGCCCACCAGCCTTTGCCCTTTCTGGAACCACTGGTGCCCGAGCTCTGTGTGCTTTACAACTTCCCATCTGAGCACTTGGGCTCAGACAGAAGGAGGATGCTGTTCAGGCAGGATCGGGGCCTCCGCACCTGCAGCCCCATGGAGAATCCCATGCAGCTCTCCACGTGGGTGGGGAGCAGGTAGATGCTAATTGAACTTTTAAATAGAGTCAGACTTCGAAGTCCTCTGCAGCCCTGTAAGGCCCAGAGGTGGCCCCCTGATCATAGGCCATCTGGGTGTTTGCAGCCCCAGTGCATCACAAGATCCCACATGCTTGGGCCAGGTGGTGTCTCTCCCTGCTGCCTCCTCCATCCATCCCCAGCCCCTAAAGGGACATCTCTGTATGTGGCTGAAGGAAAACAACACCAGTTCACCCTGCCCCTCCATGCGCCAGGCTCTTGGGTGCCTTACACACTTTTTCATTTCATCCTCACAATGGCCAACGACACGGGAGCTCGGAAGGTGAAGTCGCTCCTCCAGAGTCGCGCAGCTGGGACACGGCAGAGCTGGATTTGAATCCAGGCTAAGCAGCTCTGGCCTCTTCTCCTGGCGCCTTGCTGAGGGAGTCCCTGCCCTAGCCTCAGTGACTGTTGGGGGCAAGGGACTGCTGGAGCAGGCTTGGCCATGCCAGGCAGCTTGTGGGTCACCAGGGCCTCGGGCTCCTGCTTGGGGCTGGTGGCTCCCAGGAGACCCCCTTCTCTGCAGGGACTTTTTTGTTTTGCGTCCTTGTGTCCAGGCTGGTGGATGGGACCCGGAGGAGGAGAGGGAGGGAAGGATGAAAGGGAGGTCAGGTCAAGCCCAGGAAAGTGCCCCCTGCTGTCTTCCTGCAGCACAACTGAGGCCCAGGGGAGAACTGTCAGTGGGGTCTGGGGTGTTGAGGGACAGAACCCCACAAGACGCCATTAGCTGTGGTTCGGGGGCTGTCGGGCAACTGTGTGTGTGTTGGCAACCACAGAAGGGGCTGGTGGCTGAGAGCAGGGGACGCTGACATGGAACTGCCTGAGACTTTTGGCTGGTTCATTTCCCCTCAAGTCCTCCCTCCAGGCCCTGAGGGGTTTTCAAGGACAGGCTGTGCTTCCCACTTGTCTGACTGGCTGGTTCCTCTGTCTCCCCGGGGCTCTTTCACTGCTCTGGCGGGCCTGGGCATTTCTGGACCCTCACGTGGGGCCTGTGCCTGGGGCCCCCTCTGGCGGGGTGCCACTGGGGATTTCTCCTTCAGAAGCAGGAGGAGGGGCTGGGTTCTCCGGGCCCCCTAGGGTGGGATGGGAGGATGGGGCTGGGGAGGCTTCGTCACAGGGACTGGGCACAGAACTGGCAGCGGGTCCAGGGGTCTGGGCCTCAGTGTCTGACTGTGGCTGGGTCACAGAATCTGACTGTGGCTGGGCTGTGGGGTTCAGCTGTGCCTGGGCTGTGGGATCTGATTGTGGCTGGGCTGTGGGATCTGATCGTGGCTGGACCGTGGGGTTCAGCTGTGGCTGGGCTGTGGGAGCTGATGGTGGCTGGGCTGTAGGATCTGATCGTGGCTGGGCTGTGGGATTCAGCTGTGCCTGGGCTGTGGGATCCAATCGTGGCTGGGCTGTGGGGTTCACCTGAGGCTGGGCCACAAGATCCATCTGTGGCTGGGCCTCCACTGTCGGCCCTGGCAGAGCTGGGCCCTCAGAGTCCAGCTGGGTCTGTGGCTCAGCCGGTGTGAAGCTGCCCGGCCGTTCCTCGCAGAGAGCTGCTGCGAAGGACGAGAGCACGGAGCGCAGCAGGGCCTGGAGGTCAGCGCTGGCCATGAGGCAGAGGAAGGGGCTGAGGCAGCTGTTAAGCAGGATCAGGTAATCGGAGTAGACCAGGGCCTCCCAGAGCAGGTAGCCAGGGTAGATGTCCCATAGGAAAGCCAGATAGAGCAGCTGGGCCAGCTGGTAGGGCAGCCGCAGGACCACGTAGGCTGACAGAATGGTCCTGGCCACACGGGCAAAGCCCTGGCAGGCTGTGGGCTGCGGTTGGCGGCGGCAGGTGTGACAGGCCGAGGCCTGGGTGAGCACGTGGCAGACCAGCAGCAGGAGGAAAGGCAGGAAGCCCCCCAGGACCTCCAGCATCCGCAGCGGCAGCTCCTCACTGTCCCAGAAGTCCAGACAAATGACTAGGTCGTACCACCAGACTGTGGCCTCGGGGAAGACCAGCCAGGGTACGCTGAAGAGCGTGGCCAGCACCCAGACCCCGGCACAGACCCAGAGGGGCAAGCGGGCAGGGCGGTGCCTAGGGTACCAATGTGGGCACAGCGCCAGCAGGCAGCGGTCCAGGCTGAGGGCGGCCAGCAGGAAGAGGCCAGAGGTGTACGATACGCCCCACAGGAAGTAGTAGAAGCGGCAGGCAGCTGTCCCCAGTGGCCAGTGGCCTCCATGCTGGATCTCCAGGATCTGAAAGGCCGCTGCCACCAGGAACAAGAAGTCAGAGAGGGCCAGGCTGAGCAGGAGCAGCGCCAGACGCGTGCCCGCTCCGTGCCGGGCCTGGGAGCCGGCCAGCCATGCCATCAGCCCATTGGCTGGCAGCCCAAGGAGCAGTAGAGCCACCAGGAAGACTGTGTCCCAACCACCCTGGGGGTAGGAGTCCTCGTCGTCCAGCTCCATTCGGGGCCTGTGGCCGGTGGAGGCACCCAGGTCGGCTTCCATAGCAGTGTCCATCTGGGGTCCCCAGAGCCCTGCTGGACACGGAGTGGGTGCCTGGTGAATCAATAACGGCGTGAATGACCGAGAATGGGAGAGATGGTGCAGGGCATCTCCAGGCAAGTCACAGCCCTCCCTGTGCCGTTGTCATTGCCTTTTGGGTAGTTAGCCTATGCCAAGGGCTTGAAATGGATGATCTCAGGGAGTCCTCATACAATCTACGTTACAGGCGAGGAGAGGGAGGTTCAGAGAATCAGTGAAGGTAGGAAGGGAGAAGGCAGGACTCAACCCAGACTTTTTTCTTTGAGACAGGGCCTTACTCTATTGCCCAGGATAGAGTACAGTGGCACTATCCCTGCAGCCTCCACCTCCAGGGCTCCAGCGACCCTCCCACCTCAGCCTCCCTAGTAGCTGGGACTACAGACGTGCAGCCACTACTTTTAAAAATAGCACCCACGGCTGGGCGTGGTGGCTCATGCCTGTAATGCCAGCACTTTGGGAAGCCAAGGTGGGTGGATCACAAGGTCAGGAGTTCGAGACCAGCCTGGCCAACATGGTGAAACCCCATCTCTACTAAATGTACAAAAATTAGCCGGGTGTGGTGGCAGATGCCTGTAATCCTAGCTACGCGGGAGGCAGAGGAAGGAGAATCGCTTGAGCCCAGGAGGCAGAGGTTGTGGTGAGCCGGGATCATGCCACTGCACTCCAGCCTGGGTAACAGAGCAAGACTCTGTCTCAAAAAAAAAAAAAAAAAAAACATAGCACCATTACTATTTTTTTTTCTTTTAGATGGAGTCTCACTCTGTTACCCAGGCTAGAGTACAGTGGTGTGATCTCGGCTCACTATAACCTCCATGTGCTGGGTTCAAGTGATTCCTATGCCTCAGCCTCCCAAGTAGCTGAGACTATCGATGTGTGCCACAAGGCCTGGCTATTTCTTTCTTTCTTTTTTTTTTTTTTTGAGTTGGAGTCTCCCTCTGTCACCAGGCTGGAGTGCAGTGGCATGATCTCAGCTCAATGCAACCTCTGCCTCCTGGGTTCAAGCCAAGTGATTCTCCTGCCTCAGCCTCCCGAGTATTTGGGACTACAGGCACGTGCCACCACACCCAGCAAATTTTTGTATTTTTAGTAGAGATGGGGTTACATCATATTGGCCATGATGGTCTCGATCTCTTGACCTCATGGTCTGCTTCCTTCGGCCTTCCCTGAGATTACAGCGCTGGGATTACAGCGTGAGCCACCGCACCCAGCCAACTTTTTTTTTTTTCATAAAGACAGGGTTTCACCATGTTGGTAAGGCTGGTCTTGAAGTCCTGACCTCAGGTGATCCACCTGCCTTGGCCTCCAAAGTGCTTGGATTACAGGCGTGAGCCACCGCGGTCGGCCAGCCAACTTTTTAAATTTTTAGCGGAGACAAGTTCTTGCTATGTTGCCCAGGCTGGTTTTAAACTCTTGAGCTCAAGCAATCCTTCTACCTTGGCCTCCTAAAGTGTTGAGATTACAGGCTTGAGCCATCGTGCCCAGCTAGACTTAATCTCCTGCCATGTGGAATCCCAATGTGTCTGGGTAGACTAACCCAGAGGCTTCCAAAGATTGTTAAAGGTATGGAATTTTGTCTTTAAATATTTTAGTAAAACTCCTATATGAACTAAAAGGGTGTGCTCAAATTCTGCGGGGGAAGAGTACCCCTCTAGGGTTCCAGGACACACAGTTTGAAGACCACTTGGTCTGCTCATCACAAGGCCCCTTTATGCCTGCTCTCGTGGGGTTTGAGTGTTTAGGATTCCAAGAAGGGAGGGCTCTCGTTCCCACGGGCCCAGGGGACCCAAAGGTAGGGAGTCTGCGGCAGTGGGAACCCCCTCCCCTCCAGTGAGTGTCACTCATGGGTCTCAGGATGAGGTCTGGATCTCAGGACCGCGACAGCCTGGGGCCAGGAGGGCCATCCTGGGAGACCCGGTGCCTCTCCAGCGTCTTCCGCCCCCTATGGCCCTCTCCTGCTTCCCACAGCTCAGGGAGGAGGTGAGCTCTGTTTGTCTCCTGGAGCCGCTAAACAGAGAAGGCGAGGGCTCTGCAGTGGGATGACGGTGAGGGCAAGGGCAGTTGGGGGGCACCCAGACCTGGGATGCAAGAGGCCTGCAGCCCCACCTTGCCCTCCCTGCTGGCAGAGGGCCCTGAGAGCCCAGGTGGTGGTGCAGTCCGGGGAGGGAAGGGATGCCCCCAGGCCCATGGCTCCAGCCACTTGGTCTTTAGTCTGGTGGCCTCAGTACCCTCAGGGTTCCTCTTCCGTCTTACCCCGCTCTGCTATCTCTGTTCCCTATTGGATCAGAGCCCCAGGCACCCCCAGCCCCTGGCCCTGACCTGTGAGGCCTGGCTTACCTGGGAGGCTCAGGCCGATGGGCGGAAGGAGCAGGGCGTGCCTGCCTGCCCAGTGCTCCAGCTGTCTCCCCGGCCCTCACCGGGGCCTGCTGTGCGGCGCCTGGCGGCGCTAAGGCGGGTAGGCAGGAAACCCAAGCTGAGAGGACATCAATCATTCATAGGGCTGCTTGCCGGGAAACCCTAACCCTGGCCCAGTAGGGCCGAGTGATCAGCCAGACCCCCTCCCCCAGCCCTGACTGGCCTGGACAGTCAGACCCTCCTCCCCCAGGCCCCTCCGGCCCACCTCCTCCCACATCACCCCCTGTGCCACTCAACCCAGCATTCAAGGCGTCTGTGATCTGGCCTCTTCCTCCATTTCACATGCCCTCTGCTCCGGGCAGGATGTCACCCATGGGGGGTCCCAGTGGGCCACTTGCTTGTCCCTTCCCACCTCCCAGCCATTGTCCAAATGCCTCCTCCCGCCTAAGGTGCCTTCCCTGGTCCTCTGTCTAACAAAGGCCTCCACCCATGTCACACAGCTGGGCTGAGTCCTCTGTACCCTGGCTTTATTCCCCACATTTTATAGATGGGGAAACTGAGGTTGGGAGGGGACTTTGCTGGATCTCCTGACTAATAAGTAGCAGGTCTGGCATCTGAGGCTCATGGCAGCCACCATGTCCTGGTGCCCTTTGCTTCTGACCGAGTACAGTTCTCTGGACCCATCTGGCTCTGCCCTGGCCAGCTCTGGAGCAGAGCACTGGGATTAGGGCTGGGGCTGCCTGCCTCACTTACCCTAATCCCCCTCAGAGCCCGATCCTAGGCTCCCAGCTCTAAGAGTGGGGGTGCATAAGCAGCTTTATGAGTCCTGAGAGCCAAGGGTGTCCAGGAGTGCTGTGTCTCTGAGCCCTGTCATCCCTCCCCCATGGCCACAGAGCAGGTGAGCGGGCAGCATGGCCCAGACCCAGCCACTGGCCCTCAGAAGACCCCTGTGACTCCCAAGAGTGATGCAGAGGAGCCCCCGATGACCAGGAAGAGGAGCAAGAAGAAGAGGGGACTCCGAGGGTCCCGGAAGCGCACTGGCAGCTCTGGGGACCAGGCAGGCCCCGAGGACCCCGGGAACAGCAAGCACCCTCCCAGGACTGGAGAGGGGCCGGCAGGGGTACCCCCTGCATCCCCTGGGCCGGCCTCTTCGCGCCAGTCCCACCGACATCGTCCTGACTCCCGGCACGACGCTGCTCAGAGGACATACGGGCCCCTGCTCAATCGAGTCTTCGGGAAGGTTAGGTGGGACCTGGGTGGGCCTGGGGGTCCTGGGGGTGGGGCTGGAGACACACTCCGGGGGTTCAGCCCACCCTGCCCCTGAGAGGCCCTCTGTCTCTTCTGCCTCAGACTGAACCTGGGCTGTGGGATTGTGTTGTTGTGGTTTGGGGAAGGGTGGGTCTCTGGCCGGTGTGGGCGTGGGCAGAGCCAGAACTCGCACCAGGGCTCTGTGGGAGCTCCAGGCCCCAGGAGCACGAAAGGGAGCTTGCTCCTCCTGGGACACACGAGGCTTCAGCGTCCTTTCCCTGCCCTGGTGTGGCTGGCCCTGCCCAGGCCAGCATGAGCAGGGGATGGAGGAGGAAGGTTGACAGAGCCATGGCTGGCCCTGGGGACATGGCAGACTCTCCCCGTGCAGGACCGAGAGCTGGGCCCAGAGGAGCTAGACGGTGAGTGGCTCTTGCTGCTGGCAGGGGCAGGAGCTGTCCCTGAGCCTGGCCACCTGTGCCTGACCTCCCTCCCTCACAGAGCTTCAGGCCGCCTTTGAGGAGTTTGACACTGACCGTGACGGCTACATCAGCCACCGGGAGCTGGGCGACTGCATGCGGACCCTGGGCTACATGCCCACTGAGATGGAGCTCCTGGAGGTCTCCCAGCACATCAAGATGCGCAGTCAGTGCCGGGCCCTGCTCACCCAGCAGCCTGGGCTTCTCTGGGCTGCATGGTTCAGAGGGATCACGAGGGGCTGGCAGGAGGTGGCCCTTGGGAGGCCATCAGGGTGGCGGTGGGAGTGAGGGAGAGTGATGGTTTCCAGGTGGGGGTCCAAGCTCCTGCCTCTCTTGTGTGGGAAGACAGGCCAGGAAGGCCGCCCTAGAGACCCAGGAGGGCCCCTTGGGGCTCAGGTTGAGGACCCCACTGGGGATATCTGTTGTCGTGGCCTGTGAGCACATTCACTCCTTCCACCTGAGCCCTTCCTGCCTCGCTGGCCCAGGGACCCCGACTCAGTGATAAAATGCTCTCTGCTGACACTAGTCACCTGGCACCCTCTCTCTTTCGCTCTCTTTCTGTGACTCTGCCCCATTCCTGTGCCCTGGTGGCAGCTGCCTGAATCGGGGTTGCCCTGGCAGGAGAGGACCCCAGCCGCGCCTTGCGACTAGGTGTCTGATGGCAGGCACGGTGCGGTTACCTTTCGCTGGTTTGTCCTCAGGCAAAGCTCAGATTCACTTCATTCCAGGACTCCTGCATTTTCTCCATACAATTTCCAAAACGGGGATGTGATTTATAGCTGATGTGGACATCTGGTGTCGTGGCAAAGCTGTTGCATGACCATGGGTGTTTGTGTGACTGACGGCATCTTAGAACTGAGGCACAGAATACATGGGTGTGTCTGGAAGTGGCACTGATTGCTGCCCACTGGGCTCCAGCACTTCATGGCTGTGAACCTGAACCCCAGCAGCACCCCCATAGAGTAGGCTCCCCACCCTGCCCCTAGGATGAGGAAGGGAGGGTAAGTCAGCCAGTGCCACACACAGCAGTGGGGTCAAGATTTGAACCCGGGACTATCTGGTCCAAAGCCTGGTCTCTTCCTCGCACACTCGGGTTCTTTGCTAAGAGCAGAAGCAGCCCTGGCACCCCAGCAGCCGAGGAAGGGGGTTCCAGCCTCCTCTCTGTTGCAGGCATCACCATGGTTGTTTCTTCCTAGGTGCAGAGCCTGGGGGTGGGGGTGCTGGTCTGTGGGGTGTCCCTCCTTGGGCTTCAGCCCTCATGCCCTCACCATTGTAACACTCTGCCTGGGTCCGCAGTGGGTGGCCGTGTGGACTTTGAGGAGTTTGTGGAACTGATAGGCCCAAAGCTGAGGGAGGAGACGGCGCACATGCTGGGGGTGCGGGAGCTGCGCATCGCCTTCCGAGAGGTGGGAGCGTGCTGTGGTGGGCAGAGGGGGGCAGGGCTGGGTGGCATCCTTACTGGCCTCTCAGGTCTCAGCCTCAGGAAGGCCCAGAGCCCTGCAGGCGGTGGGACTGGGGCCCAGCAATGGGTCAGAGAGGGTTCAGCTCACTCCCAGCTAGGGGATCCATCCAGGGGGACTTCCTGGACCAGGCGGCAAACCACCTTGGCATGGGAGGTTGGGGAAGGTGTGCGTGGGCGGAGACAGTGGGCAGGGGAGCATCTAGGTACAGGCAGTGGTAAGAGTGGAGCTGTCTGCAGGCTGAGGCAGCTTTGGTGGGAGGGGCTGAGCCTTGCTGGGACCCTAGTTTGACAGGGACAGGGATGGACGAATTACCGTGCCAGAGCTTCGGGAGGCAGTGCCGTCTCTGCTTGGGGAGCCACTGGCGGGTCCTGAGCTGGACGAGATGCTCCGAGAAGTGGACCTCAATGGGGATGGCACCGTAGACTTTGATGGTGAGTCTCCTTCCTGGAAAAGCCTCCCATCCTCCCAGGGCCCAGGATGAGCCCAGCACCTCCTGGGATCCCTGACGTGGACCGGCCCAAGCCCTGCCCTTCTCTCCCGCAGAGTTTGTGATGATGCTCTCCCGCCACTGAGGCTTCAGGAGGGAGTATCTGTTGCCCCTGGGCCCCAGATACCAGCAGGACCCAGGCTGTGCCCCTTCCCCAGGAGGCGCCAGGATGGAGATGGAGGGGACCCAGCAGCCCCCAGACTTCTTCAATCCCTGAAAACACCTGGCCTCAAGGTCTGCTTGTTATGTCACCCGCCCACCCCCATCCTCACCTTCCCCGACTCAAGCTGCCTGGAAAAGACTTGCACTCAGCTGCCCACCGTTTCTCAGTGTGAGCAAGACTTGGGTATCTCCAGAGCCCTGGAAGGTAGGGAGTTCCCTGGCACTGGCAGCATTCAGTGCCCCCCCATCCCAGTGGCATGATGAATTGAGAGGGTGGCTGGACCTCTCCTGCTACTTACATTTATAAACTTTTTTTTTTTTTTTTTTTTTTTTTTTGAGATGGAGTCTTGATCTGTAGCCACGGCTAGGGTGCAGTGGCGCAATCTCAGCTCACTGCAACCTATGCCTCCTGGGTCCAGTTCAAGCAATTCTCCTATCTCATTCTCCCAAGTAGCTGGGATTACAGGCACGAGCCACCATGCCCAGCTAATTTTGGTATTTTTTAGTAGAGACGGGGTTTCACCATGTCAGCCAGTCTGGTCTTGAACTCCTGACCTCATGATCTGCCTTCCTCAGCCTCCCAAAGTGCTGGGATTATAGGTGTGAGCCACCACACCCAGCCTATAATTTTTTTTTTTTTTTTTTTACGTGAACTTGAGCCAGGTGTGGTGGCTGACACTTGTAATCCCAGCTGTAACTAAGGGGCAGAGGTGGGAGGATACCTTGAGCCCAGGAGTTTGAGACCTACCTGGACAATATAGTGAGACCCCATTCTCAACAAAAAAAGAAAAAAAAAAAAAAGTGAAAACAAGTGAACTTGAAAGAAAGGGATGGCCCAATGTATCAAAGACAAAGAGAGAAACTGAAGCTGGGATTGGGCTGATCCCGTGGGGGTTTCAGATGCAGAGAGGGACTTGGGCGCCCCGGCTCCTACACCCATAAGTGACAGAAGAACCGTATAGTCTGGGGAGCAAGAAACAAACATTCCATGGTCTCGAAAGGCTAAGATATGAATCTATCTGCACTGACCAGTCAGAGAAAGTGGTGAGGATACAAACGTTCAGGGTCGGGAGTGGAAACAACTGCTCTAGAGAGCCAGGAACTCCAGGGTCTGCCCTTCAAGCAGGGGCATCGTCTGTCTCTAGGGTGTGAAAAGCTGAAAACAACTGGAAGAACCCCTTGCTGAGCAGAGGTACACTTTCAACCCACTTGGGCACATGGAGCTTCTAAAAACAAAAGCAAACCCAAAAAACCCTGCTGTTCCCAAAGGTGAACTCGTGATAAAAACTACAGATTACTGGGCCAGAAGTGGTGGCTCATGCCTGTAATCCTAACACTTTGGGAGGCCAAGGCAGGTGAACCTCCTGGAGACCAGCCTGGCCAACCCAGGTGAGATGGGGTGAAACCCCGTCTCTACTAAAAATACAAAAATTAGCTGGGTGTGGTGGCGTGCACCTATAATCCCAGCTACTCCAGAGGCTGAGTTGGGAGAATCGCTTGAACCTGGGAGGCGGAGGCTGCAGCAAACTGAGATCGTGTCATTGCACCCCAGCCTGAGTGACAGAGAGAGACTCTGTCTCAAAAACAAAGCAAAACAAACCTACAGATTATAAAAGTAAAGAACCACCATGAGGAAGATGAGGCAGAGACAAAAACAAGAGGACTGGCGTCGCGGTGTGCATCATACAGCTGCCTAAGAGACCACAAGACACACGCAAAGAAAAGGGGGCTACAAGGGGAAGAGAGGCCAACAGGATGGTATGAAGAGAGAACCAGAAGATTTAAAAAGTAACCCAACAGGCCAGGCGTGTGGCTCACGCCTGTAATCCTAGCACTTTGGGAGGCCCAGGTGGGTGGATTACTTGAGTTCAGGAGTTTGAGACCAGCCTGGGCGCCATGGTGAAACCCTGTTTCTACTAAAAATACAAAAATTAGCCGGGCATGGTGGTGCTTGCATCTCTAGTCCCAGCTACTCTGCAGGTTGAGGTGGGAGGATCGCTTGCGCCCATGAGGCAGAGGTTGCAGTGAGCAGAGATGGCACCACTGTACTCCAGCCTGGGTAACAAGAGCGAAACTCCGTCCCAAAAAAAAAAAAAAAAATATATATATATATATATATATATAGCCACTGGAATGGAAAAATTAATGGATAAGCTAAAGAGCAGACTAAGCACAATTTAAAGATTAATGAACTGGAAGCTACATCTGAGAAATCACTTATAATGTAACACTGAGAAACAAAAAGATGGAAATATTAAAGGGTAACTAAAAATCATTGGAAGACTGGGTGTGGTGGCTCATGCCTGTAATCCCAGCATTTTGAGAGGCTGAGGCAGGAAGATCACTTGAGGCCAGGAGACCAGCTGGGCTAACACAGCAAGACCCTGCCTCTACAAAAAAATTTAAAAATAAATAAATAGGCTGGGTAAGGTGGCTCATGCCTGTAATTCCAGCACTTTGGGAGGCCAAGGTGGGCGGATCACCTGAGGTCAGGAGTTCGAGACCACCCTGGCCAACATGGTGAAACCCCGTCTTAAAAAAAAAATAAATAAATAATTTAAAAAGCTGGGTGTGGTGGCTCATACTTGTAGTCCCAGCTATTCAGGAGGCTGAGGTGGGAGGATCACTTGAGCCCAGGAGTTGGAGGCTGCAGTGAGCTATCATTGTGCCACTGCACTCCAGCCTTGGTGACAGAGCGATACCCGTTTCAAAGCAAAAGAAAGGGAAGTCCTTGGGAGTCTCAGAGGAGGAAATATTTAGAGAATAGGCAAGAAGCAATAATCAAAGAGACAGTGGCTGAAGATTTTCCATAAAGACTTCCACAGACTTCAAGTCCCCAGATTGAAGGACCAAACTGAAGTCAGAGTAGGGTAAATAAAAATAAACGTATATCTGGATACATCCCACTGAACCTGCAGAATACAAAACGAAAATCTTATAAATAACTGGAGAGAGAAGTCAGATTCACGGTGTTCTGTCAAAGTGTTCATGTAGACTAGAGTCGGGACACTTTCTGTAAACAGCTGGACAGTAATTATTTTAGGCTTTGAGGCTTCTGTCTCTGTTGCAGCTGCTCACGCAACTCCGTTGTTGAAGTTTGTAGCGCAAAGCAAAGTCAAGTTATCAACAAATGAGTGTGGCTATGTCAGAAATTTAATAAATTATAGTAAAACTTCATTTATTGACATGGAAATTTGAATTTTATAATTTTATATCATAAATCTTATTATTCTTTGACTTCCCCAACCATTACAAAATATAAAAACCATTCTGTGGACCATACTTTGCTGACTCCTATTTTTGTTTTTTGAGACAGAGTTTGGCTTTGTTGCCCAAGCTGGAGTGCAGTGGCGCGATCTCGACTTGCTGCAACCTCCACCTCTTGAGTTCAAGCAATTCTTCAACCTCAACCTCCCATGTAGCTGTGTATGTCACCATGCCCGGCTAATTCTTTGTATTTTTAGTAGAGACAGGGTTTCACCATATTGGCCAGGCTGGTCTCGAACTTCAGGCCTCAAGTGATCCACCCACCTCGGCCTCACAAAGTGATGGGATTTCAGGCGTGAGCTACCACGCCCAGCCCACTTTGCTGATTCCTAATGCAGACTTCTAATGATGGGAATCATCACTTCTGAAATCACTTTCTGTTAAGATGGTGGAATGAGGTCAGGTGAGGTGGCTTAGGGGTTCGATACCAGCCTGGCCAACATAGTGAAACCCTGTCTCTACTAAAAATACAAAAATTAGCTGGGCATGGTGGTGTGCACCTGTAGTGTCAGCTACTGGGGAGGCTGAGGCACGAGAATCGCTTAAACCGGGAGGCAGAGAATGCGCTGAACTGAAATTATGACACTGCACTCCAGCCTGGGAGACAGAGCAACACTCCGTCTCAAAAAAAAGAAAAAAAGTGGAATAATAAAAAGTTGTTAAATATAGTTGCGATTCTGTGTTGTGTAAATTGCCTGTTTGCTCATATTCAATCCATGCTTTTTGTCATTTTTCCTTTTTCATATGTTTGTTTGGATTATATTTATTGAAATGTAATGTTATGGCTAATTAATCTGATAAACTGTGGACTTGTATTTTTTTTTTTTTTTTTTGGGACGGAGTTTCGCCCTTGTTACCCAGGCTGGAGTGCAATGGCGCGATCTCGGCTCACCGCAACCTCCGCCTCCTGGGTTCAGGCAATTCTCCTGCCTCAGCCTCCTGAGTAGCTGGGATTACAGGCACGCGCTACCATGCCCAGCTAATTTTTTGTACTTTTAGTAGAGACGGGGTTTCACCGTGTTGACCAGGATGGTCTCGATCTCTTGACCTCGTGATCCACCCGCCTCGGCCTCCCAAAGTGCTGGGATTACAGGCTTGAGCCACCGCGCCCAGCTGGTTTTTATGTGTTTTTTTTTTGATACGGAGTCTCACTCTGTTGCCCAGGCTGGAGTGCAGTGGTGAGATCTCAGCTCACTGCAACCTCTGCCTCCCGGGTTCAAGTAATTCTCCTGCCTCAGACTCCTGAGTAGCTGGGATTATAGGTGCACACCACCATGCCTGGCTAATATTTTTTGTATTTTTAGTAGAGATGGGGTTTCACCATGTTGGTCAGGCTGGTCTTGAACTCCTTACCTTGTGATCTGCCTGCCTCAGCCTTCCAAAGTGCTGGGATTACAGACATGAGCCACTGCGCCTGGCCTCTGTATGTTTTTTATTTCATTTTTCTAGTTTTTAAAATTTGTATGTTACTGTATTATTTTTTTGAGATAGGCCTCACTCTGTCTTCCAGGCTGGAGTGCAGTGGTACAATCATGACTCACTGCAGCCTCCCAGGTTCAGTGCTCCTCCCACCCCAGGCCCCCAAGTAGCTGGGACTGCAGGCGCCCCACCATGCCTGGCTAATTTCTGTATTTTTTGTAGAGACGGGGTTTCACCATGTTCCCCAGGCTGGTCTCAAACTCCTGGGCTCAAGTGATCCTCTCACCTTGGCATCTCAAAGTGCTGGGATTACAGGCGTGAGCCACCATGCTTGGCTAGTTCTTATGAAAGTACTGGACCATGATGGATTAGAAATGAAAACCGGTCCTTTACCACAGCTAATTGGGGGACTACTGGTTTAGGAGTTCCTGCATCCAATGGGTACCCCCAAAATGCCTTGAATGTGGAATGAGGGTGGGAAGTCTGCAGAGGCTGGAAAGGTGGGAGCAAGAGCCGGGGTCTGGGTATCCATTCATCTAACTCACAGAACCCTGAAGGCCCTGCTGTGCTGGCTGCTGTAGACCGTGGTTTGTGGGATATCTTTCGGTGGAGGAGATAGGCTGCGTGTACGTGCACCAACAGGGCATCCCAACCTGCGCTCACTCAACCAGCCTCTTGGTTGGCCGGTAGGGGAGATCAGCTGCTCAGTGCCCACCTCCTCTTCCCTCTCCCCCAGTGTCACGGGAAGAGCCCTGGGTCAGAGAGCTGGAACCCTGGGTTATGTTCCTAATTCTACCTACCACCAGCTGGCTGTCCTTGGGCGAGTCAGTCCTCCCGTGTCAAATGGGACTAAGGTAGTGAAGATTATAAGATATAATCCACGTTCAGTGCTTAGCACCGGACTTGGTACTTTTTTTAAAAAAAAAAAAGAGAGATGGGGTCTTGCCATGTTTCCCAGGTTGGTCTCGAACTCCTGGGCTCAAGCGATCCTCCCACCTTGGCCTCTCAAAGTGCTAGAATTATAGGCTTGAGCCACCGCACCCAGTCATCCTGGTGTCTTTTAAAAGCTTGATGACTGCTGGCTACCATGATCTCAGATTTCAGTCTTCTCAAAGATTTTGTTTCTTGGTTCCTAAGATTCTGAAATGCTCTGATTTTCCAAAATTCTGAGATGGTTTGTTTATAACATTCTGCATTTCTAAGTCTTTGATCACTGAGGGTGTCTGTCAGGCCCGGCTTCCCAGGCCTTCTGCCCCCAGGTTCTCCCAATCTCTGGGACTGGGAAGGAGGGCAGTGGGTGGAGGGCGCTGAACCACTGCCTTGGCATGGCCCACATTCAGGGCTGGCTGTGGCAGCCCAGGGCCCCAGAGCCAGGCTGGAACTAGGATACCAGCCTCCAGGCCCCAGGCCTGCGTCATCTCTGAGTGCCCTCAGCCAGGGCCACCAGACAGAGTCGGGCTGGTTGAGTCGTCTAAGGGCTGGGGGCGGGGCAGGCTGTTCTGGCCTCCTCCAGGCTGGCAAGGCAGGAGTCCTCTGCCCTGCTCTACCTCTAACATGCCCCATGCCCTTGGGCAAGCCTCAGCATCAGGGCTGCCACGTGTTCGGTGGTACTCGAAGCCCTTCAGCCTCAGGGTCAGTCCTTTTCTGTCTTCATGGGAGAGGGCTGTGGTCAGGCTGGTGGGCTGGGCCATTGGTGGCAGGACAGGAGAGCAATTGCCTCTGGTGGAATTAGTTACTCCTTTATTAGCACGAAATAACAGTAACCTAGCGGCTGCAGGGCCTGAGAATAAGTTAAGGCACAGAGCAGGCAGGGGCGGCTTTCCCAGGGCCAGGCCTGCATGCCCCAAACTTCCTGAGCAAACTCCCCAGGGGCCAGGGTTTCGAGGGTCCTGGAGAGCCCCTTCCCTTGAGATGAGGGGAACGGAACAGGGCGCGGGTCCCAGGGGCGCCCCCCTGGACGGGAGGAGCCCACGCTGCGCCACAGTCACTTCTCGAAGTATGGCAGGTAGAAGAACTGGAAGCCCCGGTGGCCCCTGACCGCGCAGTAGATGAAGATCACGTGATAAACTGTGGGGCGGGGCCTGTAAGTACCGAGGCCACTCCCCCAATGTGGCCCCGCCCTCACCCAGCGCCCCGCCCCTTCCGCTCCGCCGCTCCCCGCCCCGGCGCCCTCTCGCACCTCCAGGCACCAACAACAAGAAACCCGGCACGAAGAAGATGGCGCTGGAGACACCTGCAGGAGAGACCGGAGGCCAGTCAGGGCGAGGGGGCTCGGGGCTGCGTGGCCCTCCGGGCTGCCGCTGACTGCCCGGGCAAACCTCACTCTCGGCTGAAAAGGGGCCGTGTCCTGCCGGGAGGTGGGAGGGCTTGCCATGGACCCGTGGACACAAGAGGGGGTGTCCACTGCCTGTGGGGGCGGGAGGGGACGCTCACCTGGAGAGGGGGTCGCCTCCAGTCCCACGCCGACCAGGATCAGCACTGCACACAGATGGAGCCGCGGGGGTGGGGGCAGGGGTGAGGGAGGGGACTCCCACCCCCAGCCCGGCTCAGCCCCAAGGAATGATGCCCCCCACCACCTGAGCGGAAGGTCCCCTAGGCAGAGACCCACCCCAGGAAGCTCACCAAGCTCTCTTTACAGAGCAGGGCACTGGGAAGGCCCTGGGAAGTTTGTGAAATGAGAGATTTTTATTTGCTCCTTGGGTTGGGCTTTCAGTCCTTCAACAAACATTTGTGGAGCACCTACTGCGTGCCTGGTAGGAGGAATGACGCCTTGAAGGGCTGATAAGGTCCCTGCCCTCATGGCCCGTCCTTAGAGGAGGAACCGCTAAGTTGAAAGCTACAGTCCAGGTGATTGGGATATGGGGGGTAAGAACAGGGCAGTGCAGGAGTCCTGGGTCCCCAGTTAGAAACAGGGGGAACGGGAAGCTGGACTTTGTGCTCTGCAGCAAGCAGGGGCAGTAAGCCTGGGGGCTAACATGGACTACTGTGTGCTTTGTGCATTGCCCAGACCACTTCAAAAGGGTATGATGGGCTGGGTGCGGTGGCTCATGCCTGTAATCCCAGTGCTTCAGGGTGCCAAGGCAGGAAGATTGATTGAGGCCAGGAGTTCGAAGCCAGCCTGGGCAACATAGCAAGATTCCCATCTCTATAAAAAGTTTTTTAAAAAATGAGCCCAGCCCAGGCATGGTGGCTCATGCCTATAATCCTAGCACTTTGGGAGGCCAAGCCGGGAGGATCACTTGAGTTCAGGAGTTCAAGACCAGCCTAGGCAACCTAGTGAGACCTTGTCTCTATTATTATTAAAAAAGAAAAAAAATTACCCAGGCATGGTGGTACATGCCTGTAGTCCCTGTAGCTACTAGGGAGGCTGAGCTGGGAGGATGGCTTGAGTCCAAGAGTTTGAGGCTGCAGTGATCACACCACAGCACTCCAGCTTGGGCAACAGAACAAGACCCCGTCTCAAAAAAAAAAAAAAAAAAAAAAAAAAAGAGAAAAATGGCTGTGCACGGTAGCTCACACCTGTGATCCCAACACTTTGGGAAGCCAAGGCGGGTCAATCACCTGAGGCCTACATGGTGAAACCCCATCTCTACTAAGAAAATATAAAAAATTAGCCAGGTGTGATGACAGGCTCCTGTAATCCCAGCTACTCCAGAGGCTGAGGCATGAGACTCACTTGAACCCAGGAGGCGGAGGTTGCAGTGAACCGAGAGTGCGCCACTGCATTCCTGCCTGAGCAACAGAGCAAGATTCCTCAAAAAAAAAAAAAAAGGGGGGTATAGGGGATGATGGGGATGATGTGGGCTGAAACTCACTCCCTGCACCCTACAAAAGCCCTCTAAGGAGCTCTGGTGACCCCATGCTTGCCTTGCTGGGTTGTTGAGAGAGGAAAAATGAAGAACTCGGCAGTGCCACCAGGGTCTGGTGTTCAGCGGCCCTGGGAAGTGGCAGCCCCCTCCCTGTGCTGGGAGCCCGGCTGGCTGGGGAGCCTTGGCCTTCCTGGAGAAGGGGGAAGGTGAGCCAGGGCAGCAGCCACTCTTGGTCCCTCGTTATGGATCACTCGTTACCTCAACCCTGGATCCTTTCTGGAGACTCTGCATCCTCAGCCTCAAAGAATGAGGCACCTTGGAGTCAGAGAATACCTGGTGTGAGATCTGCCTGCTCTGGACCAAAAGTTCCCCCATCTGAGCAATGGGTAGGAGGTAAGAGAGGGGTGGGCTTGTCAGTGCCCAGATGCCAGACAAGGGGAAGTGCCAGGAGCCCTGTGGCTCTGCACTGGCCAGGCACTCGGCATTCCTGAGCCCCTACACCTGGCTTCTGGGCACCACCTCACTTGTAGGACTTCTGCAAGGTGAGAAAATAAAACTGCCCTTCACCTGGCCTGAAGTGGACACAGAATAAATGGTAGCTGCTACTCTTCTGTCCCCTAAAAATAAAGGAAAAGTCTTTGGAGTGATAAGCCAAGTTCTATTTTCAGCTATGTGTGATCTCCTGGCTGTGTGCCCAGGTGGCAAGGCCTCTGTCTCCTCACCTGTAAAATGGGGGTGTGGTGATGGCGGCCAGCTGCCACCTCAGGATGCTGGGAGGCTGTGTCAAGGGGAGAGGCAGAGCCTCCCACGGGTCCCCTCCCGACCCCAGCCCTCAGGGCCACTCACCCAGCCCCAGCAGCAGGAGCAGGAAGGAGGCCAGCACCACTCGGCGGTTCTTCTGGATCAAAGGGTGTTGGGTCCAGCTGAGTGGCAGGAGAGCAGGGTGGGTGTGAAGGAGGTGGAGGGAGGGTGTGCAGGAGGCTTTGGGGACAAAGCCAGGGCTGCCTGGCTGGGGGCTCCAGCGGGCAGGGCTCACCTGCAGCAGGTGTTGTAGGAGCGCTGGGTGCCGCTGCTGATGGTGCTGAAGGACCACTGGGAGCTGCGGATGGAAGTCCGGCCGGAATCCCTGCAGGACAGGTGCCCAGGGAGGGGCGGGGGGCAAGGACAGGTGTCCCTTTGGGACAGGAGTCCTGATAAAGTGCAAGGCGTGGTACAGGGACTGGGGCTGGGCCCTGAGAGGCCCCAGTGTGTGAGGATGAATTCGGGGGCTGGGGGAGGCTAGAGATGAGCTAGGGGTTTCTGCAGGCCAGGTGACCTCTATAAAGGTGGGGGCCAGACCGGATTGGGGTTTCTGAAAGAGGTGAGTGTGGCTGGGCACTAGGGTAGAGTGGCCCTGCAGTGTAGGGGACCCTGCCAGGAGAGTGAGAGTTAGGTAGGAATCAATAGGACAGGATGGAAGAGAGTGAGTGAAGTCGGGTGGGTGACTGAGCAGGGTCCCTGAGGACAGGAGCCTGATGCACGAGGTTTGGGTACAGGGGTGGGTCCCCACCTGGCTCTAACCTGGTGCTGACTCCCCCATCCGGCTCCGGAGAGGCCTGGGCTCCGTCCTCATCATTCTCCAGGTTCTGTGGCAGAACACAGGGCTCAGAGGGGCTGCTGGGCTGGGACCCTTCCTCACCCTCCGGGGGAGAGAAAAGCAGGTCTACATAACCGTTTGCCTGGCCGCCTGGCAGCTGCTCACCTGGCCTTCCGCCCTCCCCGCAGAACGGGTTTGGTGATTCACAGAAACCGAAACTAGGTAGGAGGTGGGTGGATTCGGGGGCTTTGGGGAGCAGGAGCCTGCACGGGTCCCAGGGAAAGGAGAACTCCCAACTTTGGGAGTCAGGGTGGAACTCTCATTCAGTGGCCTAGAATGGGAGCTTGGGGATTGGGGTGCCAGGGAAGAGCAGGCCCAGCGTTCTCAGGTTCAAGGCACAGGGATCTGGTCCCTGTGTGTCTCCAAGAAAAGGAGCCTAGGGTTCGTGGAGGTTTTCTGGGAAAATGGGGATTTCCAGTTTAGTGGGAGCCAAAGGGTGGGCAAGGACTGGTCATGTGAGAGGGGCTTCAGCTCTTGCGGGTGGTGCCGGGATTGGGGTGAGGGCTTTCTGAATAGAGAAAGGTGTGCGGGTTCCCCTCAGCTTAGCTGGCCTGGGGCACAGGGGATGCTCCTGCGTGTGGGCAAGGTCTGGTTCAGATACAGAGGAGGTCCCCCAGCACAGTGGGGGCCAGGGGCGAGTACGGGGTGGAGACTCCGGCTGGGTTCTTCAGCTGGAGCTGAGGGATGAGCTCCCGGGCCAGGGCTCCGGGCTCTTCCCGGCGGGCTGGGGCCGGGTATCGGTGCTGGGAGGGCCTGGGCAGGGCTCTGGATCAGGAGTCACGTCCTGGGGGCGGTATCGCGCTCCAGCTGGGGACTCTAGGCAGATTCTACCCCAAGTTGAGGCCTTTGAGGCCCGGCCTGGGGTCCCGTCCGGCCGGGGGCAAGCGGGTGAGGTGGGCCGGGCGGTTCACCTGGTAGCGCAGCCGGGACTGCTTGTCCTCGTCAGCCACCTCGAACCGGGCCCGGCGCTCGAAGTGCAGTGGCCCAAAGCGCGCGACCCCGCTGGGCTCCGCCCCAGGGCCCGCATCCTCCAGGGACAGCTCGAAGGCATCATCTATGCTGAATTGGGGCCGGGCGGCACCCATTGCCCCGGCCCGCTCAGGCGCCCTGCGCCACCGCCATCTGCGCCTGCACGCCCAGCGTCGCCACGGCCCCGCCCCCGCAAGCCCCGCCCCCGAAGGTCTTGGCTCCGCCCCGCGCGCCGTCCCCGTCCTGGTACCCGTCTGCCCTCAGCAGGCCAGAGCTGCTGAGCGCCGAGCGGGCTGATGGGCTGGGGACTCTTCTAGACGGAGCGCGCCCGGCTCGTGACGCCGCTCAGCGGCTGCCGTGGCTAGCGACACATCGTCTCGCGCTCGGACCCACTCCCCAGGCCTGTAGGGGCTTCCATGCCTCAACCTCCAGGTCTCGTACAGGGCCTTTTGCACCCCAGCCTGTTCCTCGAGTGCCAAGGAGACTCCTGAGAACTGTTTCCCCACCTTACCACAGCCCAGCACGGGAAGGGTGCTCTCCTCATTTTTGCAGATGTGGAAACTGAGGCTCGAAGAGCTTTTGTGGCTTACACTTCTCCAGTCCAATCCCCACACAGCAGCTAAAGTGATCTTTTAAAACAAATCTTTTTCTCTGTGTGTGTTATTCTTTTTTTTTTTTTTTTGAGACGGAGTTTCGCTCTTGTTATCCAGGCTGGAGTGCAATGGCGCGATCTCGGCTCACCACAACCTCTGCCTCCTGGGTTCAGGCAATTCTCCTGCCTCAGCCTCCTGAGTAGCTGGGATTACAGGCACGCGCCACCATGCCCAACTAATTTTTTGTATTTTTAGTAGAGACGGGGTTTCACCATGTTGACCAGGATGGTCTCGATCTCTTGACCTCGTGATCCACCCGCCTCGGCCTCCCAAAGTGCTGGGATTACAGGCGTGAGCCACCGCGCCCGGCTGTTATTCTTAAATAAAACCTGTTTTAAGAATTGTGCTGCTTGGTCGGGTGCAGTGGCTCACGCCTGTAATCTCAGCACTTTGGGAGGCCGAGACGGGCGGATCATCTGAGGTCAGGAGTTCGACAGGAGCCTGGCCAACGGGCGAAAACCTGTCTCTACTAACAATACAAAAATTAGCTGGGCGTGGTGGAGCATGCTTGCAGTCCCAGCTGCTCGGGAGGCTGAGGCAGAAGAATTGCTTGAACCCGAGAGGTGGAGGTTGCAGTGAGCCGAGATTGTGCCACTGCACTCCAACCTGTACCCCCCCCCCAAAAAAAAAAAAAAACAGAAAGAAAGAAAGAAAAGAAAAAAATGCAGCTAAGTCTCTCTGCTTAAAACCTTCCCTTGGTTTTTCCATTGCACTTGGAATAAAATCTGCTCTTGGCTGGGAGGGGTGGCTCACGCCTGCAATTACAGCACTTTGGGAGGCCGAGGTGAGTAGATCACTTGAAGTCAGCAGTGTGAGACCAGCGTGGCTGACATGGTGAAACCCCATCTCTACTAAAGATACAAAAATTAGGCGGTGGTTCACCCCTGTAATCCCAGCACTTTGGGTGGCGGAGGCGGGCAGATCACCTGAGATCAGGAGTTTGAGAGCAGCCTGGCCAACTTGGTGAAACCCCGTCTCTACTAAAAATACAAAATTTAGCGGAGTGTGGTGACTGATGGGCGCTTGTAATCCCAGCTACTCGGGAGGCTGAGACAGGAGAATCGCTTGAACTCAGGAGGTAGAAGTTGCAGTGAGCCAAGATCACGTCACTGCCCTCTCCAGCCTAAGTAACAGAGTGAGAGACTGTCTCAGGAAAAAAAAAAAAAAAAAAAAAGCTGGGGGGGGGGGGCGCGTGCCTGAGACAGGAGAATTGCTTGAACCCAGGAAGCGGAGGTTGCAATGTGCTGAGATCATCCCACTGCACTCCATTTTGGGCAACTGAGCAAGACTCCCTCAAAAAAAAAAAAAAATCTGAACTCTTGACAAGGTCCATAAAGCTCTGGAGACTCTGGGAACTGTGTGCCCCTCCCAGGCTCATCAGGTTCCCCCCCTGCCCCTTTCCTCCCTGCTCAGCCACACTGGCTTTCTCACATTTTTCCTCCACAGGCCAAGCTCCCTCCCCCCTTGTGGCCTTTGCACCTGCTGTCCCCTGGTGCCAGGAAAACACTTAGCCCTGCTTTTCTCATAGCTGGCTCCCTTCATCATGGGGATCTCTGCTTAAATGTCGCCTCTTGGAAATGCAATCCTTGACTGCACAATCTAAAGTCAGTTTTGCATCACACAGCACTTGAAATTATCTCATTTTGCATTGTTTTATTCACCACTGTATCTACAGTGCCCACAACAGTGTTTGGCACTAAGTAGATGCTTAATAAATACTTGTGGCAGAAATGAATGAGGGGTTTGCCAAAGTCTCAATTACTTGCAAATGGCAGAACAGAGATTTGAACCCAGCTCCACCTAATTCACAGAAGTACTTCTCTTCCATCCCCCCACCACCCCCCCCCGTTCTTTTCTTTCTTTCTTTTTTTTTTTTTTTGAGGCAAAGTTGTGCTCTGTTGCTCAGGCTGGAGTGCAGGGGTGCGATCTCTACTCACTGCAACCTACACCTCCAGGGTTCAAGCAATTCTCCTGTCTCAGCCTCCCAAGTAGTGGGGATTGTAGGCACAGGCCACTGCGTCAGGCTAATTTTTGTATTTTTAGTAGAGACGGGGTTTAACCATATTGGCCAGGATGGTCTCAAACTCCTGACCTCAGGTGATCCACCCACCTCGGCCTCCCAGAGTGCTGGGATTACAGTGTTTGGCACCACGCCCCGCTCTCACAGTTCATTGTCCAAAGCTCTACTCCCCTTCCCCTGCTACCCACCCCCCGAGGTATTTTGGTTCCAGTTAGGCCCGGTAGAAGGAAAAACTTTTTCTAGGAGGTCTTGGGCTCCCTCCTCCGGCATACTGACTGAACTAAGGAAAAGCTTTCTGTCCTCTCTTTGAATACGGCTCCTTTTCTTCAGATGTAAAAATGGGTCAGGAGAAGCTGCTGACAGTCATCCCAGGTGGGCCGGTGAGTCCCGAGTATGGACTTAACCAGTGAGGTTAGGATCTGAGATTTCTCAGAGGAAGGTGGGTTTTGAGCCTTCCAGTTGTACAGGTTAGAAGTAGCAAAAAGGGCCGGGCGCGGTGGCTCACGCCTGTAATCTCAGCACTTTGGGAGGCCGAGGCAGGTGGATCACCTGAGGTCAGGAGTTCAAGATCAGCCTGGCCAACATGGGGAAACCCTGTCTTTAAAAAAAAAAAAAAAAAAAGCCGGGCGCGGTGGCTCAAGCCTGTAATCCCAGCACTTTGGGAGGCCGAGGCGGGTGGATCACGAGGTCAAGAGATCGAGACCATCCTGGTCAACACGGTGAAACCCCGTCTCTACTAAAAATACAAAAAATTAGCTGGGCATGGTGGCGCGTGCCTGTAATCCCAGCTACCCAGGAGGCTGAGGCAGGAGAATTGCCTGAACCCGGGAGGCGGAGGTTGCGGTGAGCCGAGATCGCGCCATTGCACTCCAGCCTGGGTAACGAGAGCGAAACTCCGTCTCAAAAAAAAAAAAAAAAAAAAAAAAAGGGACATGGACCAAAAACGGGACAGCTCACTCCCTACCTGGCGGGGTGGTGTCTCCCTTAAGGGGAGGAGTGGGGGAGACTACAGGAGACCAGGAGGAGGGGATGGAGGGGAATCCCGGGGGAGCAGGAGGCTGAGGGTCAGAGCAAAGGAGAAGTCCGGCTCAGTCCAGGAGGGGAGACCAGTCGTTGCGGTGTGAGGTGTGACAATCTAGGCGCCAACAACCTCTAAGTTGCCAGAAATTTCAGATTGGGGGATGTTTAGCACAATTTTTCCCGTGACAACACATGATCTGTTTTTGACAGAAAAGACATGAGATAGAAGTCTGCACTTAGGACCTTGAAAAAGTTTTTTTACCTAATCGCCTTGGGCAATAATACATCGGGACATACAAATGCAAACACTGGAGACAAACAGGACAACAGACAGGAGACATACAAATCCAGATGTTAGGAACAAAACAGGACAACGGACACTGAGGTAGATTAGGCACTGAGGTAGATAAATGATCATGGCAGTTTTAAGGACAAAGGACTGGATCCTTAGATGCAAGCCTCTAAGGTCCCCATGCACACACACATGTATGCACACATTCATTTAGAGGTTATTACAGTCTTTTACACTTTGTAAAGAGTTGGAACCCTGACGAAATTTTTTTTTTTTTTTTTTTTTTGAGACGGAGTTTCGCTCTTGTTACCCAGGCTGGAGTGCAATGGCGCGATCTCGGCTCACCGCAACCTCCGCCTCCCGGGTTCAGGCAATTCTCCTGCCTCAACCTTCTGAGTAGCTGGGATTACAGGCACGCGCCACCATGCCCAGCTGAATTTTTGTATTTTTAGTAGAGACGGGGTTTCACCATGTTGACCAGGATGGTCTCGATCTCTTGACCTCGTGATTCACCCGCCTCGGCCTCCCAAAGTGCTGGGATGACAGGCTTGAGCCACCGCGCCTGGCTCGAAATTTTCATCTTGTTTGTAAATGTTTCAAATCAGACAGAAACCAGGGACTCTGTCCTCCAGCGTCCTCGAGTGGCGACAGAGTCCAGGGAGGTGCCCTTATCGGGGCTGAGCCCCTCTAGATCAGGCAGGAGGACAGGACCAGGGACCCCAGACACCCAGAGTCCAGAAGCCAACAGAACCAGGAACACTAGAGTCCTAGAATTTAAAGACAGAAAACCCAGAACCAGGACTCTTCCAGAGTCCAGAACCTGGAACCAGGACCAGGGACTCTGGGGCACCCAGGGCCCAAGGTCACAGGAATTACCACAGTGAATTCCGGCATCCTGGTAATTGGATGATCCCTGTAACTTCCAGGAATAACCAGATCAGACCTGACTTGATCTTACCTTCTCCAGGGAGCAGAACCAGGGACTCTGAAGAATAATTTGGTGGCGGACACTGGGAGTTGATCTGTTCTCCTCCGTCAAGGGGTGGCCTATGGGGCCCTGGAATGTCTCAGGGGGCACTGCCCCTATAGTCCGCCTCCCAGCTCGGGGTGTCCCAGAACGAGCCCTGTCTGCACCCGGTGGCGAAATACCTCTCTGGGGCCTCCAAATGTAATAACCGAGCAAGTTAGGAGGAAATGGGCCATTCTCTGAGTT